GCTGTTCCCAATACTGGGTAGAGTTTTGATAGACTCCAGGTAAGCAGGCCCTACATAATGGCATGACAGAAGTCTGACTGCTTTTTGCTATTTCTAAACATTCCCTCCAGAGGGCCTGGGGTGAGTCACACCCACAGACATTAACAGGCCATTTTGGCCTATTTGATAATAGGACTCTTTCTACATTCTGTCCTTGGCATAATATCTTTGTGATAGGTGCCCACAAATGTTAACAGAACATTCTGACTCACTGATAACAGGAATCTTCCTACATCCTGTCCTTGGGACAGTATCTTGTGATGTATATAAGACCTCTTATCTCTGTTAAAGTGCACTTTTTTAAAATTTTATTTATTCATTAATTTTTTTAATTTGACCAGAGAGAGACATGGAGAGAAAGAGGGAAAGTGAAAAGCCACCAAGTCCGGGACTTTCTACCAGATCTGGGACTCGAACCATGGTCAGCCATGTGGGGGAGTGTCCAGCACCTTAACCACCATGCCACCTGCTGGTCCCCAAAGTGCACTCTTTACTGATTCTTTTCTGAAACACAGAAAATGCACCTGTAACCTCTGAACTCCCCCTCCACCACCACCACCACTTCCAGATGTTGCTTCTTTTTGGGTCAGACCAAGGGGCTAGTAGATGGCATAGCAGTGATGCTGCTGGACTCCTACATGACTGACTGTGGGTCAAGTCCTGGACCCAGTGGCGTAAAACTCACTCCAGGAGCATGAGCGAGTGTGCCCAAGATCCTGGGAAGAGAATGGAGGAGAATGCTGTGTGACCGTCCCCCTTGAGGGTACGATTTCTCACTTTCCCTCTCATTGTCTCTGTCTCTCTCCCCAGTGAGTGCATGCACCAAAAAATCATTGCTAAAAAAATAAAATTAGATATATAAAACTTTTTTAGATTTTTTTTTTTTTGCTATAGGACCCATATACTTGCCAGAGAGAGAGAGAGAGAGAGCGCGCGAGCGAGTGAGCGCAAGCAAGAAATCACTCCCTGGGGGGGATGGCCATGCCATAATCCCTTGTCCTCCATTCTCCTCTCTGGATTTTGGGCACACATGCCTGGTGTGAGTCTTATGTCACCAGGTCCAGGACTCAAACTGTGGTTGACTATGTGGGAGTCCAGTGACGTAACCATTATACCATCTGCTGGTCCCTGTAAATAGATAATAATTTTTTTAAAAAATTATTTTATCTGACTTCATTTATTATTATTATTTTTCAGTTTGAACAGAGAGAGAGAAAGGAAAAGTGAGAAAGCAAGTCACCAGGTCTGGGACTCGAACCATAGTCAGCCATGTGGGAATCCAGCACTCTTAATCACCATCATGCCACCATGCCATTTTAAGATAATGCTTATAAAAACAAAAAAGAGTGCTGTACTCAAAAGGCAGCAATGGGTCAGCCTTGATGGGATAGCAGTAATGCAATACTTCATGATGCTAAAGTCACATGGGAAAGTCCTGGGTTTGTGTCCTGAGGTCTACCTGTATGTACAGGGCTGACCTTGGCTGGCTGAGATTTGGCATGAACTGGGGCATGAACATCCTGTTGGGGCTGCCTTTCTCTGTCCCATGGAAGAAATAAATAAACTTAAAAGACAACAACAAAAAAGAGGCAGCGAGGTCGGAGTACAAGCAATTTTTAAATATGCCCTTTTCTTTTTTTTGGGGAGGTTTTTGCTATAGGGCGTGTGTGCTTGCCAGACAGACAGAAAGAGACAGAGAGACAGAAAGCGAGAAATCAACCCCCAGGGGGATTGGCCACACTGCAATCCCTTCTCCTCCTTTCTCCTCTCAGGATCTTGGGCACACACGCCCACGCGCCTGGCGTGAGTTTAAGCCACCAGGTCTGGGACTTGAACCGCGGTCGACTACTTGGGAGTCCAGCGATGTGGCCATTATGCTAGCTGCTGGTCCCTAAATATGCCTTCTCTCAAGGCAGACTTCAGCAGAAGCTCTGCCTTTTCCCTCTCCCCAGGTGCCTGTGGAAAGGTCCTAATGATCAGAAGGAAAACTGTCCAGGCAGTGATATGAAGTCATTCCAGGTCTCACACTGAAGGAGTGGTGGGCTGAAGAGAAAAGGCCTGTGAAGAGGGGTCTGCTCTTGGCTCCTGTGCATCAAGTGGACTTTCTAGTGTTTTGCTACCTTGCCATGCCTTTTGAGAGCTGCTACTCTGTCATCTGTTGGGAAGTAGAAGCCCACCTTGTCAAGGCCCCAAATAAGAAAGAACAAGTTGTACTGGATGCCGTCACCATCAATCATCTTGAGTAAAAAGAGAGGTGTAGGTAACATCAGGAAAAAGTCAGTGACCAGGTATATATCCTGCGCCTTCTCTTCTCTCTGTCCCTTCTAAGTGTGGGAATGGGAATGAGGGTCTTCAGATCTTCATATCTTTGGAATAGTTCAACAGGTCTTCATATGTTTGGAATGGTTCAAGGAGAAAGACTTGATAGCAGACACAAATGCAGGTAAGATTTTATTATTACTTAATGGTAGCTTGAACAAAAAATAAAAGATTTTGAAAAATTCTGACTCATGTCTATCTCCTAAAGCCCTGGATCTTTCACCCTATTGTGTAGCTCAGCAAGAAGGAACCTTCCCTTGATCTTTGCCTAGAAATTTTCCCTCGAGCACTTGGTCAAGTCACTTTACTTCTTTGTTTTTTTTTGGAGAGGTTTTCCCTATAGGGCGCGTGCGCTAGCCAGACCGACAGAGAGAGACAGAGAGAGAGAAAGCGAGAAATCACCCCCCAGGGGGGATGGCCACGCTGCAATCCCTTCTCCTCCCTTCTCCTCTCGGGATCCTGGGCGCGCACACACACCCGCCCAGCGTGAGTTTTAAGCCACCGGGTCTGGGACGTGAACCGCGGTCGACTATGTGGGAGTCCAGCGACATAGCCATTACGCTAACTGCTGGTTCCCCAAGTCACTTTACTTCTTTAAACGTGTTCCTTTACTGGTAAAGTGGGAATAATCATACATCACTTACAGGGTTGCTGTGAGGATATTATGTGAATACAACATAGTGGGCATGCAATAAATAGTCACTTTCATCTCCAGCCTTTTATGGTTCCTTCAAAATTTCGACACAGAGGGACCAGCAGTTAATGTAATGGCTATGTCGCTGGACTCCCATGTGGTCGACCGCGGGTCCTGGACTCCCATGTAGTCAACTACGGTTTGAGTCCTGGACCGGTGGGTTTAAAAGTCTTTCCGGGCGTGTGTGCATGCGTGCCCAAGGTCCTGAGAGGAGAATGGAGAAGGGATTGTGGCGTTGCCATCCCCCCTAGGGGGTGATTTCTCGCTTTCTGTCTGTCTGCCTGGTGAGAGCACGCGCCCTATGGCAAAAACCTCTCAAAAAAACAAAAACAAAAACAACAACAAAACTTAGACACAGAGGGGACCAGCAGTTGGCGTAACAGCTTTGTCACTGGACTCCCATGTAGTCGACCATGGTTCGAGTCCCAGACCTGGTGGTTTAGACTTATGCCAGGCGCGTACCCAAGATCCCAAGAGGAGAATGAAGGCGAAGGGACTGTGGTGTGGCCATCCTCCCTGGGGAATGATTTCTCACTTTCTGTCTCTGTCTTTCTGGTGAGCGCATGCGCCCTATAGCAAAAACCTTTCAAAAAAAAAAACAAAAAACAAACAACAAAAACAAAAAAACAAAAACAGAAAAACCCCCCAAAACAAAAAAACTTAAGACACAAAAATTGCCCTAATCCAGGAACAACCCTTGATAAAGACTAACTTGATTATTATTTCTGTCCCGATTGACCTGTTTCCTCATTTGAAAAAGTTATGTTAGCATAAAATTGACATTCCATTAGCCAAAGGGGGCCTGGAGCTATGTTTTACTTGGCTTATTTAAGATATAAAGTAGAAAACTGAGTCAATATTTTAAAATGAAGATATTTTACATAGGAATCTAGTTTTCCAGTTTTTCTTGAACAATCAGAAGATGTAGCAACAACAGGCCCACATTCTTGTCTGGCGGCAATCCACTAGGGCCAAAGAGGCCCTTGGTAAGCATGCGTTCCCAGTTTTCCAGGGCCACTTGGCCTTCGTTATTCATTTACATGGTCTACTAGGCCTTTTAATTTATGGCCCTCTGGACAGCTGAAAACTCTAAGGCCTGGAACAGGGACTTAATTATTGAATCCCCCCTAATATTTTCCTCTTGCTTTTTTCTGGCCATAAGAAAACTAAGTTTGTGTTTCTTTGTGGTACTTAATGAATAACTGCTTTTTCACTTCAAGAAGTGAACTGAGAGGGACCAACAGTTAGCATAACGGCTATGTCGCTGGACTTCCATGTGGTCAACCGCAGTTCGAGTCCCAGACCCAGTGACTTGGGCTCACGCCAGGCACATGTGCGTGCGTGCCCAAGATCCCGAGATGAGAATGGAGGAGAAAGGACTGTGGAGTGGCCAACCCCCGGGGGGGATTTCTCGCTTTCTGTCTCTCTGGCGAGTGCACTTGCCCTATGGCAAAAACCTCTCAAAAAAAAAGTAAACTGAGGGACCACGGCAGGTGGCATAGTGATGGTGGTTAAGGCACTGGACACTCCCACATGGCTATGGTTGAGTCACAGACCTGGTGGCTTGCTTTCTCACTTTCTCTCTCTGAACAAATGAAAATAAAAAAGAATGAATAAATATAATTAAATAAATAATTATTTAAAAAAAAAAAAGAATGAGGAGCCAGCAGGTAGCATGGTGGTTAAGGTGCCAGACACTCCCACATTGCCAACCATGGTCCTAGACCTGGTGGCTTGCTTTCTCACACTCTCTTTCTCTCTCTGTCTCCCTCTGGTCAAATAAAATTAAATGATGAATACATAAAAAAATTTCATAAAATATTTAAAGAAAAAAGATGTGGCTTTAAAAAAATTAAAGATAAAAAAAGAAGTGAATTGAACAAGTCCTTTCTGTCAGTCGGGATAGATTAGGTTAGGTTGTGATAAAAAACAATCTCTAAATCTCGGTGGCTTAAAACAACAAAGGTTTATTTCTTCGTTATTCACACAAACCTAAACATGAAATGAAAACTCTCTCCTGTTTTCACATACCTAGAGACAGACATGAGTGCATAGGTATGTATAGGATCGTGTGTTGGATAAATACCCTGGAACGTGAACTCATGCAAACGCATTTGGATACTAGTCAGCTTAAACTGCACACCTCTCTCTTTGTTGAGGATTTAAAAAGGTCCCAGACTCCAAGGTGGGATACAAAATATCCATCTTTGGCCAAGGAAATGCACACAGGACAAAGGAATTGAAAGATTTAAAAAAAAAAAAAAGCCTGACGCTTATACTGCATTGAATTCCATGCATAAATCTATAAATAAAATACACATATGCAGTGCCTGTAGGCTATGGCCTCCCTGCCCAGTGAGGCAGCCTCTATGTCTGGGCTTCTAGCTCAGGAGGGAGATGGATCCCAGTCGCCCAATATGCAGAGCGACAGAGGGGGTTGGGCTGGGTCTGAGAGAAGTGCCAACAGGCTGGAATCCTCTTCCTCCAGCAGGAGCTATAGACAGGAAGGAAGAGGGCAGGACCGGGTCACAACCATTTACCTTCCCAGCAATCCCCTCTTACCCATCTAATTCAGGCCTCCTCATTTACCTGGCTTATTGCACAGACCTCTTTCTGACTTTCCCTCCAACCTTGTCTGCTCCAATTCCTCCACCAAAGTTGTCATACTTGTCTTTCTAAACCTCAGGGTCTCTGACTGTGTCCCTGCCTACCTTCCCTTCACACATAGTTACCAACGAGACTCCTAGGCCTAGCATGCCCGATTTCCATGATCTTCAGAAGCCTCCTTTCCAGCCTCAACTCTCTGTTCCAGAAGTTCCTCCAGGCAATTTGCTCAGTCCACTATTTGGACAGGAGAATTTCCCGTCTGTATCCCTGTAGGTATTTCTCACTCCTCAAGATCCCTCTGGTCTTTCTCAGTTTTGCCACTGAGCCTTGTAAAAGCATCTAGCTTACCCAACTAGAACAGAAACTCCTTGAAGACAATGATCAGACTTCTTCCCAGGCCAGAGCCTTGTTACCTCTTCAGCTGCTCCCAAGACTTCAGCAGTTGACTTCGGCCTGGACAGTGAGCCTTAGGTTGAAGTCAAGAGACTTCAAGTGCCACTGTCTTTCTCTATGACCGTGAGCAAGTCTCTGCCTCTCTCAGGGCCTCACTTTTCTTGACATCGGAACACTGGATATTTGTTGTTCAGTGCATTAAACAACTCTAACCTGTAACTCCAGGGGCTTGGGGATGTTAACTTACTTGACCTGGTCTCCCTGGTCAGTCCCTGCTTACTCTGGTGACTTCTACTTCCCAAACCATGCTTATCTCACCCTCTCCTTCTAGTGGGTAGGTTACCTGGTGGGCCACAGGGGTGGAGCAGGGAGATCCAGGCAGGGCTGGGGGCTACAGAAGGGGTCAGGCGGGGAGCCTGGGATGAATCTTTCAGTCCCACAAGGGCCTCGGCTGCCTCCTGCTGCAATTGTTGTTCTGAAGCAGATGCCCAGGTCAGGCGAGAGGTTCCAGAGCCCTGTAAAGAAAAGGGAGAAGCAGACTGGGAATCCCTCCAAATGTTTTCTCCAGACCCTCAATTTCTTCACAGTCCTCTGCTCTTCCCCAGGATCAACCTCCTCCCAAGGTTGTGGGTCCCACTTCTTTCCCAGCACCTGTGGCTGTAGCAGAAGAGGGTCTGGTGTGCCACAGGACTGAAGTATCAGAGTTGAACATCTAGAAATAATAGAAGATGCCAGAGGGATTAAACACATGAATAGTCAAGTAACATGAAAAGAGGGGCAGATAGTCTGATCTGAGGGTCCAAGAACCTGTTTGACCATTAGACTTTATGAACTTAGACAAGTCATTTCCCTTACCTTGGCTTGCTTTGTTTTCTGTAAAATAAAAATATCTGCCAGCTCCTTCCTCCCCAGGACTAACTGTGAGGATTATGGGAAATCACTGGTGTCAGGTTTTTTTTTCTTTCTTTCTTTTAAATAATTATTTATGTGGACAAGCAGTTGGCATAGTGGCTATGTTGCTGGACTCCCATGTAGTTGACAGCGGTTCGCATCCTGGCCCCGGTGGCTTAAACTCGCGCTGGGCACGTGTGTGTGCATCCCCAAGATCCCAAGAGGAGAAGGGATTGTGGCATGGCCATCTCTCCTGGGGGGGATTTATCACTTTCTGTCTCTCTCTTTCTGGTGAGTGCACATGCCCTATAGCAAAAACTCTCAAAAATTATTGATGTAATTTTATTTATTATTATTATCTTTGAGAAGTTTTTGCTATAGGGTATGTGCGCTCGCTAGAAAAACAGAGAGACAGAAAGTGAGAAATCACCCCCCGGGGGATGGCTACACCACAATGCCTTCTCCTCTTCTCATTTTGGGCAAGCACACATGTGCCTAGTGTGATTTTTCAAGCCGCAGGATCCAGGACTCTAACTGTGGTCGGCCATGTAGGAGTCAAGCACCTTAACCACTATGGTACCTGCTGGCCCATTTTTAAAATTTTGTTATAGGGCATGAGTGCTCACTAGAGAGAAAGAGACAGGGAGACAGAGAGAAAGTGAAAAACCAAGCCACTATGCTGGGGACTCGAACTGTGGTGGCCATATGGGAGTCCAGCACTTTACTACCACTCCACCTGCTGGCCCCAACTGGTCAGTTTTTAAATTTCATTTTATTATTTTTTAAAAAGAATTATTTTATTTAACTTTATTTATTTATTTAAATTTGACCAGAGAGTGACAGAGTGAGAGAGAGACAGACAGAGAGAAAGAGGGAAAGTGACAAAGCAAGCTGCGAGGTCTTGAACTGCAGCTAGTCGGCCATGTGGGAGTCCAGCGCCCTTAACCACCATGCCACCTGCAGCTCCCCCAAACTGGTGTCAGTTTTTTAAAAAATATTATTTATTCACGTATTATTATTGTTATTATTCACGAGTTTTTCCAAAGAAAGAGAGAGTGAGAGAGGGAGAGTTAGAAGCAAGCTGCCAGGTCCAGGACTCAAACTGTAGTCAGCCATGTGGGAATTCCAACACCTTAACCATCATATCACCTGCTGGTTCTACTTTTTAAAAAAATATTATTTATTTATTTATTATTATTATTGACTGGTGTCAGTTTTTAAAAACTGACAAAACACCTAGATGGGCTGGGATTATGTTCCCACCTTACCTGTTGGTTTCCAACACTTCAGTTCACATGAACTGAAGTTTCCATTGACCCACCTTTATGAAACTTTCTGTTCTAGCCTCTGGCCTCTCTCCTGGGCCTCTGAGGCAGTCACCATCATGGCCCCTCAATTTAGGAGGCAATCCTACCCCATCATATCTGTTTAAGAGTTTTATTTTTATTTTTAGGTTTTTGCCATAGGGCATGTGTGCTCACTGGAGGGAGACAAAGAGAGGGAAAGTGAGAAATCACCCCCAAGGCAGATGACTATACCACAATCTGGTCTCCTCCTTTTTCCCTCTGAGAATGTTGCACGGCCTGGCATGATTTTCAAGCCACTTGGTCTGGGGCTCGAACTGTGGTTGGCCATGTGGGAGCCCAGGGCCTGATCCATTCTCTTCTTGTGATGTTGGGCATGAATGCACACACGTCTGGTCTGAATTTTAAGTCACCATGTCTGGGACTTGAACCACAGTTGACCACGTGGGAGTCCAGTGACATAACCATTACAACATCTGCTGGTCCCTGTTTAAGAGGTTTTTGTTTATTTTTTATTTTTTGGAAAGGTGTTTGCTATAAGGCATGTGTGCTCTCCAGAAAGACAGACAGACAAAGAGACAGAAAGTGAGAAATCACCCCTCAGGTGGGGATGGCCACGCCACAATCCCCTGGGCATGTATGCACATGTG